AAAAAAAATTTGTTAATAAAATAAAAAAATTCCAATCAACTAATGATTTGGTATAAAAAATTATAGCTTTTTTAATTTGTTAGCGATTTAGATCTTAATCACTATATGATAGTTCTAAATCGTTAAATAAAAAATTTAACCAAATACTTAATTTGTAACGATTTTAAAATAAATAAGTTTATCAAACATCTATTCTTAATGTTTTAGACAAAATCATTAACCGTTACATCTAAATTACTATACTAAATAGGCTTTAAAACACATTTATTATATTAAATTTATTCAATTTAATTAATATTTTATCAAATAATTATATTTTTAAATAATAAACTGTAATACTTAAAAATATAAATTTATATATTAATTTTAATTTATTAAACAATAAATATAAATTATTTTTAATAATTAAATCAATATAAACTTATGTTTTTACAAAGAATATAAGTTTGAGAAGCCTTAATATACATTATTAGCTGGCCTTAACCACACCCATGTTTTCATGTGCCATTTGTTATTCACTTCTTTGTTAAGAAGCTAGGATGAAAGTAAGGAATATAAGAGTATATACCATGAAAAATAATTAAGAATTTTATTTTAATGTTATGCTATTATAATTAATATTATTTTATATAAATTTATATTTTTATATATTTAACTTTTTAAATAAAGTACTGAATAAAATATTTCTCTTTTAATATATAAATTTTTAAAAAAAATTATATTAATATTATTATATTCTGTTCATAACTTCACATCTTTTATATTTAAATAAAATAAATTTTAAATTAAAAACTAAAAAAATAAGAAACGCTTGCATCCAACGGCACACAGTTGAATGAAGTGTGGGCTGCCGCGCCTGACTTCGTGTCAGGCGTGGCAGCATTTTTTACTTATTTTAATATTTTAAAATGTCAAAAATATTAGAAAAAGAACTTGTCATCGTGAGCTTGTTCACTAAACACGTCTATAATAGGAAAGAAATCCGCTTCCATTCTGCATTGAGAATAAAACAATGAAAAAGAATATTATTGCACATGTCGTAATATATTTCATCAATCAATCCCATCTGATTTAAATGTAAAATCTAAGTATAATGGCGCCAAATAAGGTGTGGTTAGGCATCTGGCCCTCCGGCCAAATGTTCTCCAACTACATTGAAGATGCATTCTTCCATCTCCTTTGGACAGAGTTTAAATCCGCTCTATGTAATATCAATAAAAAAAAATAAAAAAGTTTGGTTAGGAACATTTATTATATATGTTAATATCACTTACAAATTATTTAGTGTAATTAATATTTTATTTATTTATAATTTTTTAGATTAGTTATTTTAGATGTTTAAATTATTAATTTATAAATTAATTTTAATTTGTTAAAAAATAAATATTTATTGTTAATTTTTTAATAATTAAATTAAATAAAATTAAATAAATTTAACAAAATAGTAAGT